AAGATAATTACGTCATCATTAGGGTTGCCAATTAACTTCAGAAATGGAAAAAAGGGACAATTGTGATTCTTTATCTTTTATTCTTTAAGAAAATAAGGGACAGAATAAGGGACGCTCCAAATATTTGTACTGTACCATAATGTAGGCTGTCTGCATGCAGGTAAAAAGTTCTCAGAAATAATCACAATTGTTTTGCTCAATTTGTGTACAATTATTCTAAAGATAATTTTAATATCATACAAAAAATGTCATCAGCAATAAAGTAAATTGTACCAATATAGAATTGTGACTTCACAAATCACAAGTGTATATAATTTAGGAGGTGAAAATACTGTGAAATTACAAATGGCATGAAATTTGAAAGCTGGTGCTTGGATTTGTAGCCTACTTCAATAATGAGGTCCACGTTTAAGAATACGCTAGAAGTTCTCTCTCTATTTAACAGCATTAACTTACAATGAAAGACGTCTCCCCTCAGGTATATTGAATGTTTTCCTGCCTTGCTGGATGTTGGGTTCATGATCAATAAGTTGTTTGCATTGGCCCAAACCGATTTGGCAAAATCAGAACTCAGACGGTGAAGGGAACTGCCGTCAGCCCGAGACCCGCTCGCTGTGAAGCGGGAGCCGGCAGAGGATTCCGCTTGGTCTTAAAACCTTCCTCAAATGCCTATCACAAATAAAACAACGATTTGCGCAAAAATAATGATTAGTTATCAATTTTAGTTATCAACTGAGAATGTGTTACTGATATGATCTGGTGAAAATAATAATATGGCCTGCGAGAAAATAAATAAAAAGAGTGGGGCTGCTATGAGTGCAGGCAACCTATAGGAACAGCATAGTTCAACTCAGTGGCATGACAACACCGGCACTCGCGGCCCAAAAAACAGACCGGCCCACCGGGAATCCTCCCGGTGCTCCCAATTAGCCAATCCGGGCCTGATATATATATATATATATATAGAGACTTGATTATGGTGAGATCACTGTCTCTGTGTGGAGTACTGGCTGTTGTCAGACTCCTTGTGCATATAAAAATCTCACTGGATTATTACAATTAATGGCAGAATAAATGTTTGGAAATGTGAACTGATATTTCCTACTGACACACTACAGCAAAAAATAGAAATGACTGATTTAAAACTTTTTTTAATAATAGTGGCCTAAATCTTTTGCACAACTATTTACACAGTACATATTTAACACATCACATACATCTCGTATTGCATCTCTTGCATGTTCTTCAGTGACACTTCTGTTTAGATTTTAGTTAAAAAATATTGTATATATATTTAAATATTGACAGGGTCTGGTATTGGGTTAAGGAATAAAACCTATACATAAGTATCAAAAATAAAGGATGAGGGCATGGTAAAAGCTTTAATGTGATTTATACATAACAGAAGGAAAATCTGTTAGTTTTAATAAAAACAAACCATCAACCACTTATTTTCTTCCAAAATAAAAATGGAAGATACTGTATGTGGTTGATGGTTTTTGTATGTGATTGTATATAGTTGAGTTGGTTTTAGTAAGACTTATAAAACCTTAAAAACCTTATAAATTCTCATGAATATTTTTTGAAAATGATCTTCTATCTGTCCTGCATAAAAAAAAGAAAACAAAAAATGAAGGGTGGTTTGTTGAGTGGCGTGGTTTGACCATGAGTCATGAGAGTGTCTGGAACATGATGGGGATTCACATCAAGCTGCCACATTAGAAAAACCGACAGCACTGTGAGAGCCTCTAGCCCTACATCACAACTTTCAGCATTCTTGTCTGTTATGTACAATGCTGAATATGCTATAAATCAAATGCACTTTGTCATTTCACATGGCACAACATCTGTTGGCAACGAATAAGCACATAACCCAACAATCTCAAACTGTGCCATCTTACCATTGTCTTTTTATCTCTCTTTCTCAGGGAGTGAAGAAGAGCGGTGGATCATGTGGGGGGAGAGACTGCAGCGGAGGGTGTCAGTGTTTTCCTGAAAAGGGTGCGAGGGTAAGTTTCATCCTAGCCCATCTCAGCATCTTTATCCCTCCTGTGCTACTGTGAGGAATTTTAATTCACTGCCATTTATGCACAATACAAAATATATGGGGGGGGGGGGGG